GTACGAGGGTCAGACTAACGTAACAGTATCACCAATCTATTCTTGCTACCAGTATGACTGGTATTACCAGTATCACACAAAAGGCTTGGCATAACAAGAGGAACTAACATGTTCCACTCACTCTTCTTGGGTGTTGCATCATCCTTCCCAAAGGAGGGAGAGTCAGGCCGCAGCCACCCTGAACGGAACCAGCCACGAACCAGGCTTGTACCCCTAACCTTAAAACGGCACGCATTCCTCAAGAGTGCCCACCCGTCCTCTCCAGCCCTTGTGGAAAGATGCTTCATGCTGTCATGAAACTAACAAAAAGTGGGTCAGTTTCCTAGAAATAACTAATTGTGCTGGGACCTGTTGACAACTTTGTTCTTAGAGCTCAAATGTTTGGTAGGAAACAGGTATTAGCCATATTTTATTTATTAAAGCTGTTCACAAACGTAAGGACTATGTTCAACTTTTACCAATATCTTAATAAAACAGCAAACATTCACCTCTTGTCGGCTTATTCTTTCAAGGCACAGAACCACCCAAGCCCCCCGCCACCAGCATCCCTGCATGCTGCAGCCAAGCAAAGGCACCCCCTCCCACCATCACCTGCTATTATAATGGAGGGCGGCCGAGCTGCGCCAACCTCCGGAGACTCCCCCAAGGGCTTTCTGCAGCGAGAGCTCTAAGGAGTGGCCGCTCAGCCGCCTTCCGGGGAGTGCTCCGAGGCAAGGGAGGGTAAGCTTGACCAAGGCCAGGCAGGCAGCAGGCCTCCTAACCCCACCTCCTGCTTCAGTCTCGGCTGCCCCTGCCAAGGGGCTCCGTCTCCCTGGGATCAGTAGCCAGCCACGCCAAGCCACTGAGCGGCACCAGCTGTCATTATTTTATCCAGGCCCACCGGTGGGCACACACTCCGAGACACAGCCGACTCAGAGCTCTGATCATACAGCCACCAACGGAAAAGGGCTCAAGAAGGTGGCTGGCCCCTCCTCCCCACCAGTCCCCATAAGGATTCAGAAGGGCACTGGAGGTTGACCCCCAAGGTGGAGAAAAGGTAGTAGAGCAGCGCAAGAGAGGCCACAAGGAAGGGGCAGGGTTGGAAGAGAACCACCCGTTTGTCCGGAGCGCTCATTCCAAACTGAAAAACAGCCGTTGCTCGTGTCCGGGTGAGATACGAAGCTGATCGGGATTCGGAACCAAAGACCACTTGCAGCTCAGATCGCGGGCAAAGTTAAACCGGCCGCCCCTCCCTGGCCGACTCAATCTCTCAGGTGTGTGTAAGAACCTCACGCCCAAGTGTCTGCTCTTGCAAATGTTCAAAATGTTTCACTGTGTATGAAACCGAAGTTAGAGCAGGGATTTTTCTTCTCTTTGATACAACACAACACTTTATTAATGGGACGTTCCTTGTACGTATTAAAAGCAAACACACTTTTCCATATACCGCTTCTTCTGTAGCCACAGAACATCCCAGTCATAAGGAAAGAGGTATCAGCGGCCTTAGGAAAACATTATTATTTGCATCTAGAAAAGAGGTGGCTCAGTGAGGACATGAAGCAGAGAAATCCACCCTCTCCCATCTTAACAGGCACAAACTTTCCAGTTCAACGCCCACGTCTTCCATTCCACAAGCACAGTCATTTCCATGTTCAGTTTATTAATTAAAACAGTGCAAACCATTTCCACCTGAACTATACGAATTTTTACAGCAGTTAAACATGACATTTAAGACCAAATCCTTCTGTCACGCAGAACATTCTGGAGAAGACACGGGCAACACACGAGGAACATGTATACAGCAATCTGGGTTTTCAAGGAAACAGCCCATTCAGCATAGCTTCACAGAACACCTTTAGCAGCTCAAATGCAATCAATGCCCAATGGCAAAAATAAAAATTAGTTTGGCAACAAGTGTTTCCATCTGACCAAAAGTGGACTTAAGCCGGTTGGAGGAAAGGAAAGGAGAAACTCTTGTAAAAAAACAAAAACGTATCAGTGTAAGTAGCTTAGGACGCAGCAGTGCAAGGGTTTTAGTGTCGACTCATTCGATCTATAAATAACTGCAGCAAAGAGGTACCCCCTTCTAGTCCTCAAGCTCCTCAGCCACTGGGAGGCACAGTTACGCTCAAAAAAAGCACCTTTTGGAGGCACGCAGGGTGCAGGTGGATGCCACACAGGGTCCTAATAAAAGCATTACACCTAGATTTCCAGCGAGGACAGGAGGAGAGGGCAAAGAGGTGCGTAAGGCATTACCAGAGACGAGGCAGACGAGTTACGCCCGATGCTGTGCCGCTGAGGCGCCCCGCTTCCAACAGAGAACGTTTGGGGGATGCTAAATCCAACTTCGGGCAGCCCCTACCACCATAATGCTTTTACCTGGGCCGGAGAAAGAAAGACAAGACAAGAACCCAGCTGAATGCAGGACTTGGAGGGGGTGGACATCGAGAGAAAGAGGGGCAGGCTGGTTTACCCACACGGCTTCGGCACCACAGACTAGATGCCGACAACAACAGAGGAAGAAGGAGGGACCAACCAAGGCAAACGCTCGTAAGGAGAGGAGAAGGCCTTTCTGCCATGGGGCACGTCCAAGTTGCAATCCTTCGCCAGGGCCTCATCCTCCCGCGAGGAAGGGAGGGAAGGGACTGGCACAAAGACTACACGGGGCCTCCAAGATGCCCAGGCTGTTTTCTGAGCCAGAGTGGCACCACCGTGTTGGGAACACAAAGAGCGAGCAGCAGCCACAGACACCAACTGGCCTCCTCCAGCGGTTCCCGAGAGCCCCTCAGGCAGCAACGTGGCAGTCTCAGAACAGCAGTCCCGTCATACAGCCGTTTCAGTTCCTAGGAATCCAGTCCCCCTCCCCAGAAATTCAGCTTAAGCACACAAGAGGCAGTGGTGCCATCTGTCACAATGACACCAAGTCATACAAAAAAAAGCAACAGTAGTTATGGTGGACCCTTACCTCATGCTGTCCTTTCCAGTAGAGAAGGAGAGGTCTCCGGGGCCCATGTGGTCACCATCAGGAAAAACCGAGCAAAGCTCTAAGGCTGAAACACACAAAACCAATATTTAGAACACAACATACACAACTCACAGAGACAGAGACAGAGACAGAGAATTGAAAGAAGTAACAGATGTATTTTGCTCTGAGCTTTTATAGATCACAGTTGTCAAGAGACTGGCCACCTCAGAGGGAATCCACTGACCACTCAGCCACACTACCCTCGTTTTTCCTCAAGTGGGTACTTTCCAGAAGGGTACAGTGTGCTGCTGGCTGGAAAAAGCTTCATGTGCGACCCCCCTCCGAACGCTTCACAGCCTGCTCACTCCTTCAGCCCTCCAGGGAGTGACCGAAACGCCACAAGCTGATTTGTCTCAAAGCCAACCCTGTAAGGTCAAAATGCCAAAACACCCACAAAATACTCAAGGCCCGAAAGGCAAAGGGACTGTGGTTTAGCACCCCCAACCCTGACTCTTTTCACAGCGACCACACAACTGAAAGAATTTTATAATGTTATTAAAGATGGAGCAAAAAAGATATGCGCCTTCAAAAGCAAGGTTTCCAGCAAGGTCAAAAAGAGGTAAAACAAATCCATAGCCAACAGACCAGCAGGCTCCAAAGGTACTCCAGAAGCTTTTGAGAGTCTGGGCAAATTCAGAATAATTCTCACTTAAAACAATAAAGCTATCTAAGCTCTAGTAATACTTACAATGTATGGAAACGGCAGCATTAGTTCCAAGACACAAGCAAGAGTAACTGGCAAGCGTTCCTGTCTCCTAAGAGAAGAAGCTAGGGCTCACGAACTCCCTTGCCTGTCCCATCTTTACAGCCATCGTCCTTTCTAGAGCCTTCCATGCTCTCTGCCAGTCACATTCCCAGCTGCTCAGAACTTTCTGGCAGGGAGTAGCTTTACCAAAGGAGCTTTTTTCTCCATCCACTCTCCCCTCCGCCCTTGGCTTTGGCTGACCCAGGTTCTTGCAATTAAGGGTCCATGGGAGGAGCTAGCTAGAGCCTTGGCCTGCCCAGGTAACAGATGCAGATGCTCTCACCTAACTAGTGGAAAACCTCTCCCTCCAGGTCCCCACAATCACATGGCCACGAGAGGGGATTCACCCTCCATGGGCCAGATTTCACCAAGTCCTTCACAACAGTCTCCTTTTTTGGAAGTGGGGAGGGCAGCATTCCAGCCACAGATTGATAGACCAAGCACAGGTAACCGTGCGGGTGAGAACAGAGTGAAGTGAGATACAGAAAACTGCAACTCTGTTAAGGACACTGGTAGCAAACTTGCACAACGTTCATCACATAAACAGTCTGGGCAACAGTTTGCTAAAGGTCAGTTTTAAAAAAAAACCCCAAAATAAAGATGTATCGGTACATTTTTACACAATACAACAAAAATAGAGGATGTGCCACTGCAGTGGTTCCCAACCTCGGGTCACCCCAATGTTCTTGGACTGCGACGCCCAGAAATCCTGGCCAGCCCAGCGGGTGGCGAAGGCTTCTGGGAGTTGCAGTCCAAGGACGCCTGGGCACCCACAGTGGGGAGCCGCCGCGTTACAGGACAGTGTCCCACAGTGGCTTCCCTGAAGGCGTGAAGAAAGAAACGTATAAACCAGGACCCTTCAGATGCTGGCTGAGAAACCTGCAGAGCATCACGGCCCTTGGATCGGGTGGCTCCATTTCTAGGGGCCTGACCTGTGCAATACAGCTGGGTACACATGGGTCTAAGGTGCGCGCACGCACAGAGTTGGGCAAAGGGCCTGGAGGCAAACTGCCCTCCGCGCCACGCTGCCCATTCCCAGGATGCACCAGCATAGCGCTGGGGTCCTTTTCGATGGAATGAGACAGCCTGCAAACCCATCCGCCATGGCAGTTGCCAAGGCAATGGCACTGGGATGTCAAGGTTAGCATACAGAGTCTCAGTCACGAAAATTCCCACTGACTCTTTCTGGAGGCAGAAGCCCCTGTCCTTCCCACCGCTAACCATCAGAGCATTCAAAACAAGCACCTCGTGGCGTCAAGAGGGTTCCCTACGTTATACATGTGGAGAACTGAGCCCAGAAAAAAAATGGGATGAAACTTGAAGCGTACAAAGCCAGAAGATGCGGCCAGGAAAATATTTGCAAGATCGAGGTAATGGGAGTTTTCTAGCCATGGTTCTTGGAGAGAATCTGCTTTCTTACTGTCGCTTGAAGGCTGGGCTTCAAAGGTCTCGTTGAAGGCGTCTGGAGTGGCGCCGGCGGCTTCTGCTTCCTCCGGCTCATCAGTCTCTGTGTCGCATTCGATGTCACTGTCGCTGCTCATGCCCGGCAGGAGATGGAGAACAGGTTTCTGGCAAAGCCCAGCTGCGCACGGCCAAGAACAAGAGAAGAGAGCACTTAAGGGCCCAAATAATTAGTCCTTAGGAAGGTACCAAGAGGCCGAAGCTCTTCTGCTGGAACTGGTGTGTTGCTCCACAACACTCATGGGCCTTGTAGGCAACACACAACTTTGCAGAATAAATCTCTAATCAGAAATGCATGTGCTGCTGGTAAGGCACTGGATGGTAACCACGGTACACTGGTATACAGACAAGCAGCACTTTGGGGGCAGGGGACGCATTTCCTGGCAAGAACCAACCGCCACGAAAAAGGACTGCAGGGCAACCTCCTCCTTCACTCAGGGACGACCGTGAAAAGGGACCTGCATTTTTACCGAGCGCAGAGATAAAACATGCAAATACAGGTGACCATTTTTCCAGTCATTTGCCAAAGCCTGTTGGCCAGAATTGTGGAAAAATGCATCAGTGTGGTTAATGCATCCCCTGCCCCCCCCCCCGGAATCTGAAAAATTCCATTTGCTCTCTCCTCAAGGGAGAGAGCAGCTTAAAAAGCCCCCTTGGGCAACTCAAAAACTTTCACAGAGCACAGGACCTTCTCCTAAACACCCTCGGCTTCTCCTTAGGCAGAAATCCTAGCAAGAAGAGCAGGCATCCCTCCGGCCTTGCCTCCTCCTTACTCTCTGGGTGACAGTTTCACTGTCTCTCTCCCCTCTCCCCTGCCCCCACCCCCAGATTGCATTCTGAAGCTCGCGTGCTGTCTTTCGTGCCTCGGCTACTCCATTTTCAAACACTGAAGATGTTTCTTAAGGAAAGTAGAAGAATGTGCGATTATCTGGAAGCTGCTAAACCCGCAACCCTAACAAGCCTGACGCTGACTAGGGCTAATGCCATGCCGTCCAACAAAAACCGAAGGCTGGCTTGTTTTTCCCCTGCTCTCAGTCGCGCCTCCACTGGCAGATGGAAGGAGGGGCCTGCCAGCTGGGCACTAGAAACAGCAGGTCAAGGCATGCCCCCGCTCGCTCGTCTTTACTCCCTTTGTCGTTTTCCATTTTGAATTGGTTTTGACACCAATATTCAAGCCTGTCAAACACTGTGTTAATTTGAGATGGGGATGTAACAGCCAGTGGTGCCTCATGGCCGGAACACAGCTAATGAGCTGTACACCAACACACACACACACTCCTTCCTTTCTATACATTATACGTACTTCCAAATGTGCTACTTAACAGCCCGATGCTCAGTGCGCTAAACTGGCAAAATCCCGACGTCAGCAGAATTTATTCCCAACCTCCTGCGTTCGGAGGCTGGCCTCTTAGCCACATGCTGTTTCCACTGACGAGCAACTTACTTCAGTAAATCGACCTAATCATGGTCTTTGGTTCTGCTTTTTAAGTTGCTTTCTACCACGGGGCGGTCTGCCAGCCAGCAGGCCCTCGCGCCATCAGGAAAGCCCTGCTCTTAGGCCAAGCTCCCAGATCAAATGGTTCTTACCTGCTTCGAAAGGGCCCTGGCTGTTTGAAAGAGATCTCTACTGACAGGCTTCTTAAATTCAAGCCACACAAATATGGGCACGATTTTTTTTAACACAGAGAAGGTGAAAAAGCCATTTGGACCTAACCATGCTGCAAAGTGTTACAGGGGTTCTGCCAGACAGTTCCCTGACTTAAAAAATCAAGACATGTTTCTAGGACTAAGAACCAAAATATTCAAGTGAGATTCCCTGTGTCTGAACACCACCCCAGACTCCCAGTTCCTGTGTTCAGGCCTTCTAAAGAGAAGCACCAACACTTTCTGCCTCTGTGCTTCCAAAAAACCAAACTGAAATGGTTCCACTCCTTCTGATTCCAAGGAAATGAATTGGGGAGAGAGAAAGAAAGGTTGAGAGTGGGCAAGGGGTGCTATGGGGTGTTCCAAAATTCAACTTTATGAAAACACACACACACACACCCCAAATGTCTTCTCCTCCTCCTTCCTGCTGCCTCCTACGACAGCCAGGAGGCAAAAGCTCTCAGAGCTTAGCTTGAAGCTCAGTGGTGACGTCGACGGCCCGCCCCTTACACCTACACAAGACTGCCCGCTGAAGATAACGAGGGATGCTGGTAATTTAGCACCAGCCCTGAGCAGCAATTCGTCATGCCTTGAAATTCAAATGAGTGCAGGGGTGGAAGGCGAAGTTTGGCCGGAAAAGCGGGGAGGCGAGGAAGAGAAGAGCTAAACTTCCGTAAGAACAATCAAAGCTGTGACCCAGAAAAAAAAAAGACCGAAAGCCACGTTAAGGTGGCTCCTGAGAGACAGAGAGAGAGAAAACAGCTTTTCCCCGCCGCAGCTGAGCCTTCTGTCAGCCATGCTCTGAAGATGGGCATCTTCGATCTACTGCCATCTGAACCCCTGGTCATCCTTCTGGGCAGCCACTACTTCTGAATTCTCACCCTCTGGCTTCTGGACAGGCACGCTGGCCTGAAGGCGACTCCACCGCAGGTCCGTGTTGGGGGAAAGGAGAGGGAGACTTGACTGTAAACCCACCCGGAGAGCTGCCACTGCCTGACCCTCCAGTCATAAGAGCTCTGCTTTTCGGGGGGGGGGGGGATCAGCGGCGAGAATTCCCCCGCTGTTGAATGCTCCCTTCATGTAACCCTGAGAGGCAATCCTCACTCCGCTGACTGTAAGGATTAGTTGCCCAATACCGCAGAGCTTTTAATCCAAAGACCAGCAAGACCCACAGCGCTTGCATGGAATGAAAGGGGCGGGTGTTCAATGGAAGGTTCTCTCTGTAGGATCAACCCCTCTCTAGGCTTTGAAGCCCTTGAATCCGACGTCTGCACAGAAAAGCATGTCTGGCGTCTTTCGATTCAGTCCCCACAGGTGACTCCCGGGTCTGTTTTCATCCAGAAACCAGGACGGGTGCCGCTTACCTTCCTCCAGCCCAGCCGAGGCTCCCTCTGAGAGGATGACTGGCAACTTCCCAGCGTCAGTGTTGTTTTCCGAGTCGGCCAATTCTGCTGCTTCCGCACGGCATCTATTTGAATTGGGCCTAAGGAGGATTCAAGGCACGCGGTTATGGAGCACCCGAGGGCTGTCCCCAGTCGGCCATTCGGAGCTATCCGAGAGGGCCAAGACTCTCAGCTTTGGGAATCTGAAAACTCTGGGCCTAATTTCAAGGACGTGGCAGATGACACTACCTTTTGGAGGCCTCCAGGAACAGAAACATCACCATTTTGGTGTTTGATTTGTTTGTTTTTGGTATAGGGGCTCTTAAGGATTTTAAGCAATCTGGGACAATGCATGCAGCACACCCCACTTCTATGCTCTTAGAAGGTGGGGTGTCTATTTGCCTACTTATTAATCTTTCCCCCCACTAGGCCCCTTTCAATCATGCCACTAGTCTTTCTTCCACTGTGGCAAACAGCTGTAAAAATCAAAGGACGTATGAAAAGTAAAGCAGGCCAAGGTTCCAGCAAAGCAAGAAAGCATGCATCAATTTTCGTAAAGCACAGAGAATTAAGTGAATCCGTCAGAAGGGCAAATTAGTATCTTAGAAAGAAACAATAAGATGTTCTGATAGGAACGAGGACAAACAAACTGGGAGAGTTGCCTTGGGTCCTTTTTAAGGAGAAAGGTGGGGTGAAAAATATTTAAAATAAATACATAAATGATTTTTCCATTCCTTCAGCCTCCTCACAACCATCCAAAAATGAGTCTTCCTGAACACCGGACAGGATAGCAAAATTAGCAATGGGGAGTTCTAGGAGAATTACGAACATCTCTAAGAGTAAAAAGTGGGGCAAAATGGGAGAAGGCAGAAAAGCAACAAGATGAGCCTGGAATTTGGCTCCGGAAGCCACACAAGCAACAACTTACCCGCCGGCTACTACTTTCTTCGCCTTTTCCCCAGCAACGATGCCATTTAAACCAGAAGCCCCGGTATCTGAATCGGAGAGTTCGCAGGGCCTCTCCTCGGGCTTAGGCGGCAGCTCGGAAGCATTGCCGTTCGTGAAGGACCTGGGAGAGCCGTGCCTGCTGCCGGACTTGCAGCCTCCCGGGCAACCTGTGGGAAGGAAAGCGAAGCTGCCACGACGGCTTTCCAGGAGAAGGAAAAACACGGCGGCAAACACAGCTTTGGGGGAGAGAGCTCGGCACGGCCCCTGGATTCAGTAACCAGCGTGGAGTGCAGGAGACCTCCTGCCCATATCAACTCTACTAACGGCGAGACAGAATGCTTCTGTATATAGAACCCTAGGGAGATAACACACAGGCCTGCCTGCCTGCCCGCCCCACGCGTGCGCACACATACACAAACCGTTACAATACCACCATGTGCCCCCGTTCTGTACCTTCAGAGGAGATCTGACAGTCTCCCTTCAAGTGCAGATTTCCATCTCCACAATCCATCGCTCTTCGCAGGGACAAACTGCCTGCCGTCCCGACTCGACCAGCTTTGGAGGTATGGCTTTTCTTATTTGTGGCTGCGACACACGGGGAGGCGAGAGACATTGAGCATTTTTTAAAAGGCACGTGTTTATTTTTTACTTGCAAAGCAGACCTCTGTTTACTACAGCCGCATTCTTCAGGATAACCTTTAACAACAAGCGATGTACACAACATTTCCCGAGAGATGACTAGCCCCACGTGTCCAGCCGGACTATCTCGTTGGGGGCACCTTTGAAAACGAGCACAGCTTCTCAAATTATCCAGCGCTCAAAACACAGCACGTAAAATTACACTTGCCGTGTGTAAGAATTCATACATTCCCCTTCATTTCAGTTGTGCAGAATTAGAGACTGAGGAACGCTTAAGCACCAGAGTTCAGTGGTAGCTGTGGAACTTGGAAAACTTCTGCTGTGCCCTTGCCAGAAAGTAACTTTAACCTGATTCCAAGAGAAACCATGACTGGATACTGTCCGTTATTTCAGGGACACATCTATAGAGTCGCACGTCCGTGTCTAGGCTACTCAAAGGTGGCACCCTTCTCAGACATCTAGACGGTTCCCACTCGGAAGAAACGACAGCTCAATCACACACACAAACACACACACACACACACACAAGCTACTTACAATTACGCACGTAGCAGCCAGAGAGGGATGATTTGGTGAGCAGCTCCCTCCCGAGTTCCTGGAGTTTGCTGTAGCTCTCTGTCCCACACGCAGCCAAGGCTCCCTGCTCGCCGGGGAAGCCGTAGACCGCCTGCCCGTCCGAAGAGGCCGAGTTGCTGCTCCTGACCTCGGAGAGCTGGTTTTTTACATCGGACATTTTGCTGCGCACTTCGGCCATCTGGCTCTTCAGTCTCTTCAGCATCTTCAGGTCTGGCGGGAGATGCCACATGGCCTGATGCCTCCGCTGGTCCCTCTCTTTCAGAGAATAGGAGGCTGGAAAGAGAAGCAGCGGCAGAAGCGGTCACGGCCCCTGAGTGTCCTCTCTGGAGCAGGCCTAGCCATGCTTTAGACATGGCCTTTTCTGCCCTTCCTCTACCTGCGCTTGCTGATTGTAAACAGAAATATCAATCAGATATGGGGGGCCCACCAAGCTTTGCAGCCCACAGGACTCACAACCTGAATCAATGAAACTTATAGAGGAGCCGATTCACCAAATCCCCAATAATTCCATGGGTCTACTCTAGTTGTGACTTAACACCGGATTTCAGCTGCTGGGTTTTCCCAGAGCTTGGCATTCACAAGTTATACCTGAAGTCTAGATGGGCGGGATAGAAATCAAATCAGCACTTGCATGTATTTTTTTTTTAAGTACCAAGGGTGCTACAAAGTTATGTATCAAAAATAACATTAAAAAGGATCAGCACTTGCATGTATTTTTTTTTAAAGTACCAAGGGTGCTACAAAATTATGTATCAAAAATAACATTAAAAAGGAAAAAAGTTACTTTACCGGTGTCAAAATTAACATTTTATTATGACTTTCCAAAATCATCTTTTAAAAATACATAAAGGCGTTGCTCCAAGTCATTTTCATATTTTATTCCAAGCCCTTAGTTAAACCTCCCCCCAGTAACGAAAATCAACAAAAAGGAATTAACCAGACCAACAAGGAAAACAACACATTTCCTTTTTTCTGTGCTGTAACAACTAACAACAACAGGCTACTTTCTAGCTCTGTCATGTGTAACAGTTACAGATTATCTTTTTATTAAAAAAAAATCAGCTTTCAGACCTCTGAGCTCTCCAGCCTTGGAATGCTTCAGAATAAACAGATCAAATGGCCTGCTCTGCCCACCCAGGGAACGAGAAATACCCTAAAATATAGGGAGACAACGTGAGCGGCAGAACTTGAGGAAGCCGGGCAGTGGGGAAACCCCCACCCCACCCCCTGACAACCGGGATATTTTAGCACCATCACTCCAATCCCTCTCTTCCTCCCAGCAAGAGGAAGCTGGTGTTATTTTGCGAGACTGAGTCAACCCAGCCTTGTTCCTTCCCAACCTATCTTTAGAGCTGACAGTACAAACACTGTCATTAATCAAGAGAAGAGAAGAGTACATGCGTGGACCAGATGGATCATCATTTTCTCTTCTGCTCTACTAAGTCAATACAACGGGTGCTTCGAAAGTGACCGGAAACAAACGATTGGGGGCTCCAGGTCAATCAGCCCCCAAACCAAATAACCGCTCCCTGACGAGTCAGGTTCTAATTTCTTCTGCATTCTCTTAAGTTCAATGCATTTGTGGACTTAATTACCAAGGAGGCCAACAGGTGTTTACTCCCATGGCCTTAAACAGCAATACATCTCAGATATCCAGAATTGCAGATTCTCCTCTTGCAGGAAGAAGCTATCCAGGAGCGGATTCATTTCTTCCTTGGCCCACTCCAGGCAGGAAAAGTGAACCGAGAAGGGTCTGGCCGACATTCCACACAAGCTCCTCCCGGTTCTCCTTCCCCAGCCTAGCCAGAGAACCAAGGAAGTTCAGTAAAAGCAAGCAGAAAATGCCGGTGGATTCAGGTGGAGAGAAAGTCAACTACCAGTTGAGCAGCCCGGCGTGTCTCCTTCTATGCAGACAAGAACGGACCTGCACGGAGGTAAGACAATGCCCCGTTTTAAGAATAATCACCACAAGAAGCTAGTTCCTGCAAAGAGCATCACAATTCAAGGTAAGAAGCAACGGAACGGAACAGACGGCAACCGGGGCCAAGTTGGCGAGAGGCCTTTCTTTCCGGCCCAGCCCACCCGCTCACCTCTGTTCTGCAGAAGGGAAGCTGGAGGGTGAGGCTGGAGGCACCAAAGGTTCTCCATCCCGCTTCTGTCCTTCAGGTCCAACAAGTGGATTAAGATCAAGGGGTCGATGTCCAGCAAGCTGCTGCTGGCCGAAGAGCCGAGCGCGCTCCCTCCACGCCTTGACATGCGGCAGCTGGCGGTGGGGTAGCCGTGGCTCCCGCCTGGAAGGAGAGGAAGATGAGGAGCAGCTGTATAAAAGCTTCATACCACGGGCAAGGAACTCTGCGCTCAGCAGCAACTCTTAGAGGCCTTGTAAGAAACAACAGCTTTGCTCTTATTCCCCCTGATCGTGAACTCGGCAAGGGAACGCAGGGCAGCCCAAACGAAGCCAATGAGAACCAAAGGCCGGGGGAAGGTATCCCAGTTGGTGCAAGAACCTCGAGGTTCAGAGAGGTGTAAAAATACATTTTTTAGCGGGGGAGGGAGGAGAAACTCTAGAGATTTTCCAAGAACTACGAGGGTGAAAGATGACAAAAAAAATCCCTTTTCATCTCCCTCAATTCTGACGCCAGACTCCATTTGGAATCTTCTAGCTTCGTCCTGTGCAATGGAGGCAGTTCCGGGGGGGGGGGAGAATCTCTATTCCTGAAACGTCTCCCTCAAACCCTGCCGTCAATTACCAAACAACTGTTCAGGCCGGCTAGAGCCCTAAAAAGGAATACTGCTGAAGGTGGAGGTGGTCCTTCTAAGGCTCCACCAGCTATGCCTGGGACTTGAAGCCAATGAGAACCAAAGGCTGGGGGAAGTTGGTGCAAGAACCTTGAGGTTCAGAGAGGTGTAAAAATACATTTTTTAGCGGGGGAGGGAGGAGAAACTCTAGAGATTTTCCAAGAACTACGAGGGTGAAAGATGACAAAAAATTCTCTTTTCATCTCCCTCAATTCTGACGCCAGACTCCATTTGGAATCTTCTAGCTTCGTCCTGTGCAATGGAGGCAGTTCCGGGGGGGGGGGAGAATCTCTATTCCTGAAACATTTCCCTCAAACCCTGCCGTCAATTACCAAACAACTGTTCCGGCCGGCTAGAGCCCTAAAAATGAAGGTGGAGGTGGTCCTTCTAAGGCTCCACCAGCTATGCCTGGGACTCTCAAAGGTACCGTGCCTGGGCTTGAAGCAGCCTGAACATCCTCCTTAAAAGATGGCACTCTGCCTCCCTCCCACCCTGAATAATGCTATAGTTGCCTTTTACTATTTTATACTGTGGGAAAAAAGCAGTACAGATTGTGCGCTCAGTGGGGCTGGAAAATATCCCATCACCCACTGTGGGTTAAATTAATCTGGAAGTCAAACACTCCCTATTAAAGCTCTTTAAGAGACTCTGTCAAAGCAGTTGACTAAGAACAAGCATTTAACAGGAGATTCCTCTAAACTGAGTGGGTTACAGTCAGACATCACTGAGCAAAGATTTTACAGACAGCAAACACTTAGAAAAGGAAAAAAAAGCGCTAAAGAACACAATCAATCACTTAGTTCTGCAGACATTATACTGTTCTCTCTCTCTCTCTCTCTCTCTCTCTCTCTCTCTCTCTCTGCACTCCTGTAGCAGGGATGGTATTAATCAGCTAAATATAAATTAATTTGCTGGCTCAGAAGGAATTCCATCAGAGGTATAATTTGCCTGTCATATGTTAGTGATTGCTATCTGAGCCACAAAAGGATTTAGACAGTTAGAACAAGAACTGCAATATAACACCGTCAACACCTCCCCCTCCTGTCCCACCAGAGTAACTGACAGGTCCTCACTGGAACATTTCCAACAGAAATTCTCCAGCACTAGAAATTAAAAGACTCGTTTAAAAACAGGCCCCTTGCAATAGCCGCCTAGAGTGGTCTAATATGATCAGATAGGCGGGATAATTTAAAAACAGGCCCCTTGCAATAAAAACAAAATCCCAGCCGTAGGCTAAGAATTTCTTTAAATTACAGTCAAGTTGATCATGCAGAAAAGAAAAGAAGCCGCTCCCATCCCATTTCATCTCTGCTTGACGCTTAATAGGTCCCATTCTGTTTCCACAGAGATTCATTCATCAACATCCCAGTTCTGTTTAAGAGAAAGTGACAAAACATCAGAGAGGAAGGGAGACACAAGCAAACAGGAAAGGTCCTTACGGTCCCAAATTATAACAGCCGAAATGTTAGGAAAGAGAGGAAAAAAAAGGGAAGCTTGAGAATGCTAGTAATCCACTGAAGCAGTTTTAGTGTTGTTGTTTTTTAAAACCACAGGGGCCAGTCTCCTTTGTACGTGAGCTAATGGGAAAGCTGCCCTACATTGCTGTAATCGCTACACACAGTACATGATGCAGCAGTTTTAAAAATAGAAAGTCCCGCAGAGCAGCCGCGTTGCCTCTGACGTCGGAAGGAGAGCAAGGAGAAAGCGGGGAGCAGCTCCAGACAGAAACACAAGTTTTACGAGAGCCCGACTTCTTCTCTTATACCTGAAGCGCCAGCAGGGGTAGCGGTGGCTTCTTCCACCAGGTCTCCTTCCTCCAACTCCATGTTGTGACTGTATTCCACATCATTCTCGCCAGACCTTTAAAAATAATAATAAGCCACAGAATCCCTGTTACGCTGCTGTTTTGATGAAGACTCGTTCTCACAAAATTGAAACTGCAACAGGCCAACAACATCACTGCTACGGGAGAAATCAGAACATGTACAAATACCACTGAACTCCTAGGTGGTAAACTTTGTTCATGTAGTCGAATGCGGCTGCGTCATCTCTTGACAGCAAAACAAACTCTAGCGTCCTCAGCAGGAAGGGGCCAAAAATCACATTTTGCAATCTTTTAAGCAGAGGCTGGGTGCCTGGATCAGGGATGACAGAGTAGCTTAACTTCTGCATCAGCAAGAAAGGCTGGACAAGTTGGCATTTGAGCGCCTCTTCCAGTTCTATGATTCTTCAAAAATTCTTCCTCCAAGGTTAAAAATAAATGTATATTAGAAAGAAAGGTTCTAAGTTTAGCTAGTTTTGTACTTGCAGGAAGGCTTGCTTTTTGTAGAGCAGTCCAAAATGCGGGCAACCGCACACTCTCTCTCAGTGCTCTAACTTTCCCTCTATTGCACCTGTGCACTATCGGGAAAAAAACACTGCATTTGTAACAAAAGACTCCCCCTTGCACTCATTAGAAAGCTCAGCAGCTTAGGTCTCTGGCTAGAGAGCCAGAGGTTGGGAGTTCAATTCCCCAGTGATGCCTCCTTGAGAAGGGTGGAGCTCGATAATCTATTAAGGTCCCTTCCAGCTCTGCAGTCCTAAAATTATTATCATCTTGGAAAAGGGGTTTTATTAAAACTACAATTTCCAGTCTTCTAGTCAATATCCCACTATTCATTTTTTAAAAAGGTTTTGCCATACTATGAAACCAACAGGAAATCCTGAGCCTCCTGGAATGCCAAGAGACACCCAAGGAGCCCACAGAATGCCACAAGGAGGCTTCTGCATCCCACTTACATGGTCTCTTCATCGATATCATTTTCTTCGGTGTTGCTGGTTGCTGTTGAGCTTGCCGACGAACTGCTGCCCTCGAGGGGATTCACCTCTTCCTCCCCCACCAGATCGACATCGAGATCCCCATCAGAGAGCTCATGCTGCAGGGAGAACAGCCAAGTAGACTTTGAGACAAAATACAGTGGCGCCTCACTTAGCGATGTTAATCTGTTCCGGAAAAAACATCGCTAAGTGATTTAATCGCTAAGCGATTTTAAAAAGCCCATAGGAACGTATTAAAACGTGTTTAATATGTTCCTATGGGCTAAAAACGTACCTTAAAGCGAAATTCCTCCATAGCGGCGGCCATTTTGGGTGCCTCTACAGCGAGGCAAAACAGCGGCGGCCATTTTGGAACCGCCAATCAGCTGTTTTAAAAAGTTTGCTTTGCCATAATCGCTTCCCCGCGATCATCGCAAAGTGAATTTTAGCCATAGAGGACATCGCTAAGCAATCGCTCCAGTGATGGCCAAAAGTCCATTACAAAGTGATTTCATCGCTCAACGGAGTGATCGCTAAGCGAGGCACCACTGTATTGCTTGCTTGCTCACTCTCCCCAGTGTAAGCAGAAAGTGGCAACTCTGCTTTCCCAGCTGGTTAAATGAGAAAAAGGGGAGGATGCATGAAAGTGTCTTTTGAAATCTCAAAAGCCTGGAGGGTAGGGAGGGCAAATTTAATTTCCCATCATTGGGGACAGAGGCTCAAGGACCCTCACAGCTACTGATCCCATTCCACAAGCAGCAAAACCATATATATATGCAAAACGGCTCAGTTTGCAAAGTATTATTTGGGTCACAGAAGTCAGCTCTTCTCAGCGTTGAATATGGATGTCCTGCGCACTGAGCAACTTTGTTTTCAACCTAGATAAGATAATTTGCTAGAATTCCCTTAAGTACCACCAAAGAATCTATTTCAAAATTCAAATAACAAGAGCATTAGGCTGCGAAAAATGTTGGTCCGTGTTTCCAGGTGTATCCCTTTCCTCTCCCCCCCCCTTTCTAACTAGTTACGCAATGAAGTTCTTGTCACTTACATTAAAGTCTTCGTACTGTACTTTCTCCTCTTCTTCATCTTTTGCATCCCTGGGTGAGGCCACCGCCTCAAGAAGCACCTCTGCATTGGGCCCTGTCTTCTTCGACCTTGCTTCCAGACCATCATCGCTCTGCGGGCTGAGGTGAGTATCCGGAGGAGACATGCTGTGGGATTTCTGGGTACGTGAAAGCTCAATGGCTAGCCTCTTTATTTTTGTTTGTTTGTTGGTTTGTTTAAAGGGGAGGGGGTGCAAATGAAACAGAAAATACATTGTTTCAAGGCAGCAAGGTTTGATTCTTCTGTACCAACCATTCTTAATCAGTAAGCTGGCTAACGGACTGCAGGATAACTGCAGGATACCCAAGACAAATCCCCAAGGAAGCGATGGCCCACTTCCTCTCTTCAATCTGACTTCTCTGAGCCTGCTATCAGCCTCTCACACGTTAGCAGCTGTTTCTGCCACGCCTTTCAATCATTCTTCAAGCATGGATGCAAGCAGCTGTCCCTGACCTAACATACATTCACCTGTCCAGAACAACAACAAAAACTCAAGAGAATGGGCTCCACTGAAAGCTGGTCTTACATTTTTGGAGAGATGCTGTACCTATAGAGCACCTGTTTTGCAAATAGAAGGTGAGAGGATTCACCTATGAAAACCCAGCAAGCTGATGCTACTAAGCGTAGACGCGCCCCTCCCAACCATCACCCAGTCCACATGACTCATTCAGCCGTTTTGGACTCTGTCCCCCACCATCTCCTGTGGCTGTGCTAGCTACAGATGAGGGGGAACAGACTCCAAAACACAGAGAAGGCTAGAGGCTGCTGAGGTCGATCATAAAGAACTAGACTAGTAGCCTGACCTGGCATAAGCCGGCTTCCAAAGTATGAAAGGCAGGAGTGAGACACCTTGGCCCTGGATTCTAAACGTGACTGGATTCTAATAGCTCCGGTCAGCATAGCTAATGCTATGATGATGATGGGTGCTATAGTCTAACCATATCTGGAGGATCACAGGTTCCCTAGCCCTCAAATGTAAAAGTCTCAAATGTGCCCCAGAATACCACCAGCCCGCTCGCTGGACCCCAGCAACCCAACATCCAAGCCCTCAGGCTCCCTCACGTTCAAGGGAAGGGTTTCGCAGGTGGCTTACTTCTTTCAGGTTGTTTATCTGTTGGACGTAGCTTGTTTGGGCAGCTTCCAGCTGAGAAATGTACCAGTGCTGATCCCGACATTTCTGGAAGAAAGTAGGAGAGCGCACCTGGAACCTGCCGGGGGTGGGGATGGGGGGGGCACAAAGTCAAAGACATACAGGACTCACGAGGAACCCCTCCCCCCACCTGTCACAGGAGTTAAAACAGAACCCTGTGCCCGGAAAGCCAGGGAAAGCTTTGCCTCCCACTTCCCTCTTTGAAATGACGGCTGAAACTTTAAATCAGAAAATTAAATCAGCTCAAGGTGAAAAGTCTTTACCTTGCGCCTTCTGGCCCTGACACCAAGGTGTAAAATGTCTGAAAGATGGCTTATCTTTCTAATAAGGAGTACCTACCTTTGTACATAGATTACTTTTTTACATATCTAGATGTATAATGTTTTCTCTATTAAGCCATGAGTACAGTGGTGCCTCGTATAGCGATAATCGGTGCAGCAAAAATCGCTGCAAAGCGATTTCGTTGCTATGCGATATTAAAAAGCCCATAGGAATGCATTGAAACCCCTTCAGTGCGTTCCTATGGGCTTCAGACTCACCTTAAAGCGAAAATACCCCATCCGGCGGCCATTTTCGCTGCCCAGTAAGCGAGGAATCTGTCCGAGAAAACAGTGGGTGGCCATTTTTTTTACCCGGTGCCCATTTTGGAACCGCTGATCGGCTGTTAAAAAATCATCGCTTTGCGATGATCGGTAAGCGAAACAGAGTACCGATCATCACAAAGCGATTTTTCCCCATAGGGAACATCGCAAAGCGATCACAAAAGCGATCGCAAAAAGTTAATCGCTATGCGATTTCTTTGTTAAACGGAGCGCCCGTTAAGTGAGGCACCACTGTAATACCATCCCCCACAAGTGACATCTAAATCCAAGACCTCTGCATTTATTGCCGATTAAAAGGAAAAGTGATCAGTCACAGTCTTTGGAAATCAGCCTTCCTCGACCTGCAGCCTTCCTGATGGGTTAAGACCACAACTCCCACCGTCCTCAGCCAATACCTAGAGATCACCAGGTTAAATTAAGGCATGTTTAAATCTAATGGCAGACCAACCAGAAATGAAGTGGAAAATCTCTCATGAAATAATTTCCGTCCTCACAAGAAGTCTGAAGGGGGAGCCCAATGCGTGGGACTCGGGACAAAGTGGTCGCTGTTGTGCTCCGCCTGATTACATCCCGCCTATTTACCATCCTCTTGCACCCCAAACGCCGGGACAGCTACTCTTACCTCAAAATGACCGTGTCGTTCTGCCTGTTCAGGTAGCCTTCGTTAGCGAGCAAGTCCAGACGAAAGAATCTGTTGTAACCCCAACACTCCCCAACTTCGAAATCGGAAGCAAACTCTCGGATGATGTTCTTCGCAGGGTCATTCGTGGACTGGTGAACCATTTCTACGCGATATTCATACCTTCAATGGAGGGAAAGAGTCAATAACAATATAATATAATATCCATTTATACCTGACGCTAGACCTGAACTTTTCTATGTTCCATTGGCATGCCTTACTAATTTAAGCTTGCCTAGGAACAGAATTTCATACTTAGGAATGACTTGGGGAAAAAAACATAAGACCTACTCAAGGGTGGTCTCGAAAGAGTACTGTTACTCTGAAATGGGGAGCATTTTAAACAATGTTCTAAGGTGCTTCTCACTGATCAGATGTGCTCTTCCATGAAGGACCCCCTTCTGTCCAGTTAACAAGCTTTAATGGGGGGGGAGGCTTTTCTAAGCAGAACTGTAAGGAGAGGAGAATATATCTTTTGCGGATTTCTCCTTTTTCATTAGACCACCTTGCTCCCTTAGTTTCTTTCTGGGTTGGGGATCCTGACGAACAGCATGGGTGATGGAGGTGGGGCCGGGAGCTGCATGAGAGTCAGCAAAACCTGCCTCTTACGACTTCCATTTACAGAAGCTTTTTCTGGGCCACTGGTTCTCTGCTGCAAAGGAGGATAATAGAGCAAGCCTGAAGTTTTGGAAGACCCCCACTAAAGTACTAAGTCACACAACCTAGATCAAAATTAGCATTTCCCCAGAGGTTTTGGGGCTTGGGAGAACTTTCAGAAGTCTCAGCCAGCACTGCTTATAAAAAAAAAAAAAAGGCTGGACTCAGTGATCCACAGGGCCCCTTCCAGCTCTACAGTTCTAAGTTGATGATGAACAATGTGATTCAAGTCGTCTGGAGGACCAAAGCTTTCCTTATCCCTGACCTGGGTTCTTCTCTTGCTCAAGGAGTGAAGACACAAAGTCTGATCACAGATGCATTCAGACGTGTTAAAACCGGTCCCTCTGTCACATTCCTCCCAGCATTACATTTGGGGGGGGAAGGAGATGGAACTTTAATCCATACAAGCAGGTCGAGAGGAACGGCTAGAAATCGTCCTTACTTGGATGTTTCTGGCAACCCCGCTGACAGCTCAAGAAATACAGACAAGTAGTAGCCTCGCACCACTCCGTTTCCATCCTTTAATTTAAAAAAGTTAAAATGCTAGTTAGATGGTTAGAATGCACTGCCACAAGAGTTGGAAGTTAATATTATCGTTTTCCTAGCACGACTGAAGACATCACTGGAGCAGACGTTTGCACACTGCAGAGTTCCAAGGGTCCTCAACTGAAGGGAAATAGTCTCTTGCAGATAAACCTTCTGCACGTGTTTGAATAATACCACCACCCGGGTGGACAGCAACATTGTTTAATGTTCACAGAAATCTCACTCCATTGTGCCACATAATCGAAAAAACACCCATGTTTTTGCACCAGAGCCATTCAACCATGAGCCTCTCTCTGAGAGACCTCCTAATTTGCTGTTCCTCAGGTGCTGCTATAGTCCGATGTATTCTGCATTTAGTTAATAAACAGAATTTCTCCAACTGCTTTACTCCAAGACAAACTTAAACCTAAATAGGTTTTTTCCCCACCAAAAGGAAACTGGAATCCTGTAGATGTCATTTTTAATACCATGGAAGCAAGAAAGCAGGACGAATCCTCAATTTCTGTTTAATTTCAATTTAAGTTGTATCCCAAGACAATTCGTATGAATAAAACACTGCACCATCATAATGCACCAGGAATCACAACTGAAATTTTAACAGCCATTTTTAAACATAATCAAACTCACCGGATAAACCTTCAGCCTCCAGCAAAGCCCAGAAACCTGAAGAGGAGGACTGTACACTGGGTCTGCCCGCTGGCGTAAAGTGCTGTTGAGACATTTGAAATAAATATTCAGCTCAGAGATTAATGTAAATAACAGGCATTTATTCCTCTGCAAAAAGAAAAAAGAAAATCAAGTGTTCCTTAAAGTACTTTTTCAAATAAGCATGAAAAAAAAAAATCCCCATTTGAATTAGTAGTCTTTCAACAATGTCATGGGATGTCCCTTCTCAATAGCTATCCCACGTCTCAAAAGCTCTGTACAGAATGAATCTTACTGGGGGGGGGGGAGGTTACACTTGCATCAGTGTAATTAGTCAACTGCCGTTTTATGCGGCCTTGGTTGCATTCCTGGTCACACCTCCAATTCTCCGACTGGCACGAGACCAAGAAGGGAAGCAGCAACTTCTACATTAGCACCCATCCCACCCCTGCAATTCACACAACCTCCTGTACACCAGTTTAAGTCACCAATAGGATTCGCCCCGCTGTTTCGTTCCATTATTGGAATTACTTCTCTTTAACTTCCTTTAAGCCCTTTGGTATCAATTCCTGTACATTTTTGTCTCACATACTACCCCCCCCACTCCCAGTACTCTAAGGTTATTTAATGTTTAGCTTTCCTTTTAACTGTACCGGTTTGCTCCCAAAGATTTTTCTACTCTGGGACACACACCAATGGACTGTCCTCTCCATTTCATTTGGAACAAGTCCGTAAGAGCACCAAAATGTCCTACCCACCACTCCGAGCTGCACAGGGGCCAGGAAGAATCAACTGCGGCTACTTAAGTGTTTCTTTGTGCTTATCTGGCACTCTGCTCCTAATTAGGAGGACTCTAGCCAGATTGGACGTACACATACACAGGCTCTGCAAAGACATGATGCCTGAACGTGAGAGTCTGAAATAGATTCCCAGGCCACAGGTGCAGTCCAGTGACACATTGGGTTGAATTTGTCTGTTCTAGCCTACAGAACGATCTGATTACATAAACTTATCTGCAGGAAGATTTATATTTTGGGGGCGGGGAGAACCATCTGTTGCACAGGTGGGTTCAGTTCTTCATTTCAACATGTCCCTCTCACAGGAATAGATGTATCAGGAGGAGATGCTAGCAGGAGAAGGCAGATCCTGTCCTCTTTGCCTAGAGACATGTACATAAAGGACCGCAACACCCCATATGTTCTGGGACTTAGTCCTACCTCCAATTAAGCCCTGGGATTACCCCACAAAAAGCGAGAGTCCCATTTTTCAGAAGTCACATTCCTACCTGAAGTTCTCCAAGACAAAGGTGGTGGAATCATAGGAAGGCACTAATTCACTGCAGGGAGAAAAGGAACAAGGAAATCACGATGCGGGTATGGTGTCCAAGAGTCATTTCCTGAACACATGAGCTAATACAGAAGCGGTACCCTACAAATATTGTGCTGCAGAAAATTCCAGAGTTCACTTGTGACATTTTAAAAAAGAGGCTAACAGGCCACAGCTAGTTAGGCTGCCAGTCTTACTGTACCAGCAGCTTCGTCTCTGGGCTGTGATGCGGGACTGAACAAACATTAGCTGCGTTCTCTCTAGCAGCATCAGAAACACCAAACTAGTATACACAGAAGACTATCCCAGTTTGGTTTCCCCGCTCCTAACCACATGAAGGGGGAAAGGGTGTCTATTATGGCCTAGGCCACAAGGGCTGAGAGGGTCAGAAAGGACGTCCTTCACAACAGCCTCCACGCAACAAACCTAACACTTCTAAAAACGCTGTGGCCGTACCTTGTGAAGTCCGGAGGGACAGGGGTGGTGACAAAAGAGGCCATGGGTTTCCGGTGGACTTGCTGGAACATCATCAAGATCTCAGAGCTTTTTGAGATCAGTTCACTTTTACTGCAGGACCGCAGCTGTAAAAAAAAACAAAAAACCCACAGACGTTAGGCTCCCTCCTGAAGTGGCTGAGAATCAGCTCTTGGGACAAGTTACTTTCTTGGACTGCTCCTAGAACACCCTCCCTTCCCCCCCCCCGAGCTATAATCAGGAAATTCTGGGGGCTATAATTCCCCCCTAAAAGCCCCACTTTTTGAAATAATATTGACAACTTCTATGCCATACCTAATTGGTAGCTGCTCTTTACAATCTGACACAGACAGAGGATATAGAAAACTGAATAGTGCCCGACATAATTATACCCACACAAAAATATTCAAACTCTTAAGAAAAAGCATAGGAGGGAAATAAAAGACTTTGCCGGATAAGGAGTCAAACTCTTTACAATCTGACAGACAGAGGATATAGAAAACTGACTAGTGCCCGACATAATTATACCCACACAAGAATATTCAAACTCTTAAGAAAAAGCACAGGAGGGAGATAAAAGACTTTGCCGGATAAGGAGTCAAACTAACAATCCACACTCTTTGCTAAGGAGAGCTGACATTAAAGTAGACTGAAGAACCTCAGTAGGCTTGAAACCATCTGTTTCCATCACCTGGTGCTCCACTTCCTGCAACAGAGACTCCAGAAGTTCTGTTTCTTGAGTGAGCGAAGTCTTTTGACCTGTTTGGAAAAACAAAGAACCAAAATCTTGGTTTTTTGTAGACTTTTAACAGCAAAACTGCCCAGGAGCTTTGCTCTCACAACACAAACATATTAGAGATAGTAGAAAATTTAGAAGGCTACCATTAAAACAACAACAGCAACAAATGAAGAAATCAATATATACGTGTGCTGTTCCTTTAAACCCCAAAGCATTCATAAGCAGGCCAAATCATATCAACACGAGGTTAGCTTGATTTCACTGAGGGAAACACACACCTAAATGGTTTTAGTTTATGGAGTTTAGCAAGTTTTTTTTTCTTTACCTCTTGTCCTTTTAAAGGCTAGTTCTAAGCCTCCCAGTCAGTAATGCAATAATACAGAAATAATTAAGGGCAGAAGTCTCTGATAAAAGCTCACACCTGCCCTTTACAGTTCCAAAAGTATGGGGCTAACAGTTCCAATCCACTCTAAGACAAATAACAGAAAAGGCTGTTGAAATACCTTAGAGTCTGAGGACCACAGCGATGTCAACATCACTGTGCTGTTCAACTATCCAAAAGATTTCAGTCCACAGCGTTTTTTTTTCTCAGAAGTGAAACTATTCCCAAGCTTTTCAGACGCAGCTGTAGCTGCATACCTCACACTGACCCTCAAATGGCAATCATTTGTATTACAGGAGTGTTCCTGCCCCACCCACCCCCCTCTAAGAAAAAGCAAGCCTACCCATTAGTGTTATAAGTTTGTTCTTCAGCTGGGTATCTAACCTAGCAATCATCATCTCTACAGCGTTCCTGATTTCCCGAACACGCTCATCTTTTGCACTGCGTACGGCTTCCACGTTCCTCTCCTGCAAGTCACAAACGGCATTAGTTCACTATCCGGTCACAATTCCTCTCTTCAACTATTCAAACCTTTATTCACAGATTTAAACATTCTTAAAGGAGAAATTCAGCCTTAACTACAGTGCCTTGTTAAGAGCCAGAGTACTCAGAGCAGAAAATCGTCCTTGAATTCACTCTGATGATGTTCTTTTGATTAGCACATCCTGATCATCTGAATACCACACAGGCTAGCCATCAAGAAAATCTGACCCATTCTGCATAGCTACTGTCTAGACACATTCATCATAATAATCCTCCAAAGCAGATCACATACATGCTTCATTTTTTAATAGTGAAAAGGTATAGAGTAGCAGCAACGTTTTGGAAAGTGCCCTCTAGTGACTTAAAGAGCGAATTACTGTATCAAGGAGAACACATTTCCAGACATAACAATTTCTTAAACTACAGACCAATACCCAGACAAAGATCTGCAAAGCAAACAACATCCCTCTATAGGAATAATAAATAGCTGGCTTCAAGCAGTATTTTAGTTCCATAATCAGTGCATCCAATGTCATATAAAACGACTATTCCCAGACTTTGATAGTACCATACCCCTCCTCTACTTATAAAAAAACAACAATCCTAAAACTTCACTCTTCCTTAGCTGTCTTTTACTATTCTCCAAACCCTTCCCAACAAAATATCCACTTGCAATTTAAAATCTAAAAATAAATGCAAACTTACAATAAGAATGCTTACAAAAATGTATTCATTTTCCATTGGGTAAGGGAAGATCATAGGGATGGGGATTTGGATCAGGGTATCCGGGTAGATAAAAAATACAGAATGTGATCAGATAGAGAACAGAATATATCCTTATTACATTTGTCATTATGTTTCTTATTAAGCTTACTTCACACTTATCGTTTTTTCTAAGCCTTTAAAATCTAAAATTATATCTTATATTTTCGTTCTCATAATTTTAACCCTTTCATATTCTCATATCCAATTATACAAAGGTTCCCACTTTTTTTTTTTAGTCTCAGCAATGTCTTTGTCATTTAATACTTCAGTTAAAATATCCATCTCTGCTGTTTCAAGAATTTTTTTTCTTTTAACTCCTGGGTTGTTTCCATAAAAACATATTTTAAATTCAAAGTACTGTACACACAAGACGTTCTTCTTCAGAAATCTTAAACTTTACTAACAATGCCTACCACAGACATTTGTTTTCAACGGGTTAGAACATTTTTGACTTATCGCCTCAGACCTCCATTCATGCCTTATTTGGGGAGGCATTTGCCCAGTTTTGAGAATCGGTGACCCAAAATGAGTAGACAAGGGAGATCTTACCACTTCCTGCACCAAACTGATTAACTCCATGAGTCTTCGACGGAGCTTGGCTACCTCTTCATTCACTTTCGTCACATGCTGTTCGTATATTTCGGCTAACGGTTTGAATGTATGTCCTCCGTGCTATTGGAAAATACATACAGACCAATGTGCCAATTTTAGCTTGAGAGTTTACTTTCCTTTTATTCACTTAAACCACGGAACGCTACCTAAACAAAGCCCCTGTCTTTCATCCATCAACCAAGCCTTGCATTCGGCTCCTAGTCCAATAAAATGTTGTGTACTAAAGCTATTCAGAGGCCTAAGTGAAGGGATACCCTCTGTTCTCTATGCAGCCCTTCAGCGAGTTTAAACAACAAATGTAGAAGTCTGAAGCAACCATTTCAGGGTAAATCTGCTATCCTGGGCATATCTGTTCTAAAAAATCCAATTCTAGGTTTACCTGATCTAAAGGAGTCACCTTCCTTTGTGAAAGCCAAGCCTCCTTCAGGCAGTGTATATATTTTGGTCAAATTAAGTACCTTATTATTACAGGACTGTTATCTTAACAAGCTGTTATATTTGGTAGTCAGGTGGGCAAGGGGCTTTCTTGATACAGAATGCCCTCCCTGTTGAGGCTTGCCTGGCACCTCATATATTATATTCGTGTTGGTGCTAAATTGTTTTTTTTTTTTGTTTTTTTTTTTAAGTTTCCAGCTTTGAAATCATTTTAGCATCAACGGCTTTCGTTATTTTGGCCAGAATCCTACAGGGAAACAAAATGCACATAAGAGCCATCGTGCAATGTTTTTCACTCTTGGCTTCTCAGACAGTGGGCGACGGGGCACAAGACCAGGTATGGGACATTTCTCGAGCCCGAGGAAACAGAGGATGGCAACAGACAAGGCAGCAACACAGGTAGGCTCATGGCTGCCCATTGGCTCTGTGCAAATCCAAGGAGATCCTAAGCTTCATGACATCATGGAAAATTTACAATGCTGTTGCGAGTTTCTGTTGTACTGGATTTCCCCTTGGCTGCTGGTTTTATGCTGTTCCTGGATTTGACAGTCATCGCAGGCGAGGGGGTAGACAATCAGGTTTTTTGTTTTCTTCCTTCCTTCCTTCATTTACTTATTTATTGAAGCAGAACCTTTTGCTATTGGGTGAAAGCTGAATGCCATAGATCAATTTATTTCTAGGCCATTAGTTTGTGGTTCTATCAAAGTCAATGAGACAAATGGGGGAAGAAGCTACACAAAGCTATCCAGATCAATTCCTTTCAGAACTACCCTGGCTAAAACCTCTGTCGGATTACAGATTTAGTTTAATCCAGTAAAATAAGACTGAAACACCACGTGTCCTGTCGCTTCTCTGTTTTGCAGCATCAACTCAGGCTCCCTGAACGCCTTTAGTCTAGCATAATCCAATGTTTGTATTATGCCATACTTCTCTTCAAAGCAATTAAAACAACAGTACTTGACTGGACAAAGTTTCTCTTCAATATTCTGTACAACAGTGAATCTACATGAGATGTTTAGAATTTGATTATTTAAATGTTTTGAAAATAAGTGGTCTAAACGATAAACACTAGACCAGCTCATGTTTCGATACAGCCTGTATTCAAGCAGCTAGCTGGTAGCAAGAATGAATACCACACAAGTGACTGAGGAGCCCAACAATGGAATGCTGGAATCCTCCATCCGCGTTGTCTAGAAATGCAGCTCCCCATCTCTCCACCGCCAGTTTCTTGCAAGTTAACCGTTGTTGTTGTTTTTTCAATTTATTCATTTATTTTTTGCAGGACAGTGACATGTTTTAAAAGACTATCCCAACAAAATCATGCTGTATTAGGAAAAAGGTGACTTTTGCTCCTACGAAGCAAGGGGGCCGGGTGAGGAAAGAGCAGTCTTCCAGATGAATGCCAGCGTTCCTCATCACTGGCTATGCTGCCTAAGGGCGAATGGGAGATGAGACCAACATTTTTGCTGCCTTTTACCCATCTCTGTGATTTTGATATCACCATAGAAACAATCGCGCTATGATTCTGTATTTTGAGTAAAACTACCACAGAGTCACAGCTAGGTCTACAACATTTCAATACAGCAAAGTTACTGAATTCCTCCAGGCCCCCTGGCCGGCATGTCTAGAATTACTAAAAAAAAAATACGCCAAAGAGCTGAAACTCACCATGCCACCCCAGAGGGCACACTGGTGGCAAATGCATTTCTTACACGTCCAGCAAAATACACTGAGCTTTTCATGATGATTTTCACACCTTTTCAGAAAAGGAGAGGGGGGGAAAGTTTGCAAAATGCAGGCAAGCACCCCAGCAGTCTTTCAGCTGTGCTACCAACAAGAATTCACTTTCACTTGATATTGGTCACTTCTGGATGTCGTTAAGAGGCAAGATACGAGCTAGACACAAAAGCATATTTTCTGCTATCATCCCCATCTGGCTCCTCCCTCTGAATCAAGCAACTAGACTAATATCAAAGCAAAAAGTTCCTACTGTGTATGAAATAGGATCCTGGCTTGTAATTCCCTTAGAAATCAAGGACAGGAAACAAACTTTTCTCCCAGCCTGTTAGGGAAACAATAAGCCAGGCGTTTCTGTTTGAATACACTGCTTTCCCGTTAGTTTCTGGCTTGTCTTGTTTAGTGGCTCCTGCTGGCAGCAGAAACAAAGCAGCCCCTTGCAGCACTGCACGTGAATCGCACACCAGAATTCTCAGCCATTCTGGTTTATCACTAGAGCCAGGTGCAGCCCCTGCCAGCTGCTAGAAGTGATTTTAGTCCCATTTTACATTCCCTAAATTAGAAACAACATTAGTGTAGTTTTGTAGGATAAACTGCCAGCCAAATCTGGGTCACGTTCACAGCAAGGCACAATCACATGCTGGGAATCCCCCAGCTTTCCTATACTCCACTTCTGATATGCTCTCCCTCAGGTATTTTTGTCCCAAATACCTACACAGTGTGGTCCAAACCTATTGAGAGCTACTTGTATGCCTTCGTAATTGTCTGGGGGAAAAGCAGATTCCCTTTTCTTGTGTTTTCCTCCATATTATTTCTCTCTCATTCACTATCCTCATCTGAACTCATTTAGCAAAGCCATCCAAAAACTCCAATCCCTCATCTAGATGGTGGTAAGAGAGCAACACCATCAGAAGGGTCTAGACTCTCCGCCATGTCCCTTTAACAGTTAATCCAGTTCTTGGCATCATGGCTACCATTCCGTACACAGAAGGGTTGAAGAACAGAACGTTGTTTCCCAGGTTCAAATCCATTCTCTGGGCAAGAGGCTCCAAACCCTCCCTCCCTCCAAAGGCCATATGTTCTCACATACTTGTCCTTTTCATTTTCTTCATGCTTGTTCAGGTTGCACAGCTGGAGCGTGTCAAGCTGCTGGGTCACTTCCTCGGCCCAACGACAATTGACCAGTTCTCGGAGCTGGAGCGGTGCTCTGTAAGGAAAGTTTTCTAGGTTAGATCCAGAGAATTGAGCTGAAAGGTGTAGAACAAATTCTTGAGTATTTTAAAGAATAATGTTCAAATTTGTCAAGACATCTCTTAGCAGGAGCCCCCGTTTCCCCCCCCAAAAGAATATGGCTGAGCATCATTACGGAAAGCATTCAGACACCTCCTTCTTGCAGCTCTTCAACCTTGCAGGTGCATCAGGAAGCTTCAGAAATTACTTACCGACAATGCGGACACTGAGCTCTTTGTTCTGTCAGCCAACGCTGTCAAACAAAAACACGCATATTAGGAAAGACTGGAACACTTCACAAATAAGAGAAGATACAGAGGTATTAGGTCTACAAGCGCTGATGCACGTTTGAGAACTTATTCATCCAGAACACATGGGGACAATTTAGACCCATGGGCATGTATCTACTGAATTCAACATAACTTCAGCTAGTCCAGGCTTCCATGCCCCTCTCATTTTAACAAGTCTGCTCTAGGCATGAGCGAGTCTGAATTCTGCCCTAGATATGTATTTTCCCTAAGTCACAAAAGAGGGAGGAGGTCAAGGATATCCCCAGCTCCAAAAGACACAAGCTTTGAGAACCAAACACAATAATTTAAAAACTATGTTTCACAAAACACTGTGATTTCCCTTAAGCTTACTGAAACTTCTTCCCGGAGAACAGTTAAACAAACAAACAAACAAAAAAGGCAAATGCCTACGGCTTCACATGTAGTTTTTCCCCAAACCTCCACATTCCACTTACCCGAATGCAACTGAAACAACACAGCTTTGAGCAGTGTGGACACAGGCGTGCATCACGCAACTTTTCCATACAAATGAAGCATCGGAACACTTCAGCAATGCTCTGCGGGGGGGGGGGGTTAAAAAATAAAAGAGTATTCCAGTCAAGGTGAAGAGAATACAATAGGCATCCGTTTTGTTCGTTCATCATATAAGCAACCCCTCCATTTCTATTAAGTGAGATAACACAAATCTCAGTTTTCCTGTACACATTTAGAACATGCCTGAATTTATAATAAGTCATCACTAAATAAACCTATGATCATCATCATCATCTCAGAATTCCTTTGATCCAAAATTCTAACAGCGGAACAAGACACTGATAGTGTTCCCCCCACCCAATTTAGCCAGAATAGGCTATAAATAAAGAAGATGTCAGAACTGGATCTAAGATCCGCAACCTCATGGTGCAGAATCCATATCATAGCAAAATTACAGCAAAATGATGGAAAAACTCCCCTCATCTCCTGCAGAAAAAAAGAGAGAGAGAGGATCCCACCTAAAAAAACCAAGGCAATTACATCACCCAAACCCACAAATTGCCAAGAGGATGTGATGATGGCTACTTTGAACTTGGGGCTCTAGGAATGCCTAGGAGAAAATCCATACTGTACATACGTACTTTATTGTTACAGCATCAAGCCATACAAAACGGAATACAAAACTTCAAGGACTGGCATGCACTACCAAAGAGCCATACCAGACATACAAAAAGTAAAATATCTAAAACAGCAAATATAACAATGTAAGTCCAAGGTCTACGGGTTTAGCTGTCTATTCTGGCGGCTATAGCACGCCACCCAAAATGTCACTACCAGTTCTGTAGTATTTTATTTATTTATTTTATTTTATTTATTGCATTTATATGCCGCCCATCTAGACAGAGTCTACTCTGGGCGGCTCACGATATACAATATAGTAGTCCGATTTTGGTTGATTAACAATTGATTACAGTAGTCCGAATCCGGTTGACCTGCCATATCTTTTAAGAGAGGTGCAATATATTTTCCTCAAATCTTATTATGCCTGTTACATCTGAGCAGATTTAAGAAAATCCCAAGGGAACAGAGATTCTGCCCTTGTGGCTCTGACTAGGTAGATAGAATCTATCGAGAAAATACAGGCCAACCCAATATATTTTGCTGCCTGAGGCACAAGACCAAAATGATACCTGCACACTTGTTGTTAGGAATACAAAGGAAAAGCTGGACGGACAGATGAATTTTAGTTGAATACTGGGGAGGGGATGAGATCCGGAGAAACGGCCAGGACTTCGGTTCCTGCCACCCATCCGCCCACCCACCCCCCAACCTCTGCTGCCTGAGGCAGGGCCACTCGGGACCTCAGAGAAGGATGGCCGACCCAGGTTGGGCATCCCAAAGGCCCACTTCTGACCCAAATGGGTGTAAAGTCACCCACCGGGGCGAGAAAGGAATTGCAAGGACTTCCAACCCCTGCACCAATGCAAACAAGGCTTGGAGGTGCTGGAAAAGAGAAAGGCTTGGGAGGGAAGCCTTTCAAGCCTTTTCAAATGGGAAAGCATCCTTCTTAATTCCTAGGAATAACCACCATTTCCAGCACTCTCTCACCCCCCTCCCCATCTATCTATACACTGGGGGAGGGGTTTGAGGGGGGGAAAGAAAAACAGTTTTGACTTCAAAGTAGACTCCCCCCCCCAATGATGGAGGAAGGGTGCAAAGAAGGGACCCAGGCGTCCTACACCCAAACCCAGCTCTTTTCCTGGGGGTGTGGGGGGGGTCAGGAGCTGGGGAAGGGTCCCAGGCGTCCTGGGGAAGCCCTCCAACCCATTTTGTCACGAAGGGCGGGGTGGGGTGGGGTCTGCAAGCCTTCTAGCCACCTCCCTCCCCCACCCCACCAGCAACCCCCCCAAATCTAGCAAAGCCCCCCCCCGTTCCCAGAGGGACCCAGGCGTCCTGGACCCCCCCAAA